GGATGAACATAGCAGGCCGAGCAGGAAAGCTGACGTTTCGGGCCTAGCATTTCTGAAGAAGGGTCTAGGCCCGAAACGTCAGCTTTCCTGCTCGGCCTGCTATGTTCATCCAGCTCTACACCTTGTTATCTCAGATTCTCCAGCATCTGCAGTTCCTACTATGTCTGAAACAATTTTAACTCTAATATTTTGCAGGTTTCTCATGTGATCAGTACAACACCTCTTGTGTTTCTTGTGTCATTTTTAGAAATACCAAGTCTGAGAAAACACATCATCAACTTGTATTTGAAAGAAAGAAAGAAAGTGGTGTATATCTATGTGTCTGAAGTATGGGGGATGCTGTTCCTTCTTACATCACTCAACCAAAATAAAGAGGTATTTATAATTAAACCTCAGCACACTGAACTCCACAGCCCCAAATCCCAAAAACCTCTCGACACTCAATCCTGCCTATCAGACACTACTTTAATTCTCTAAAACTGATAAATCTTGGAAAAACCTTTTAAAGCCAATTTTTGTGCATTATTTTGATCAAAATTTACAATAACCTGACTGGTTTCTGAATCATTACACATATTTCCAGAATGACATCCTGAAAAGCAGATTCAACATCATTAGTAAAGATTTGCAGAAGGGATTGGAAGCTTTTAGTGAACATCTGGAGGCTGCCTGCAAAACTCTGCAGGATTATCTCAAAGGCGGAGTTCAGGAAGCTGAGAAAACATGTGTGCAAGTCATTAAACAATGTACAGAGCTGGTAGGTACACCATGTAAAATAAAGTGGGACTAGCAGCAGTGTTTGTACCTTGCATTGATGATTTCAATATATGATTTTATTTTATTGATGTTGCCAGCATTAATTACCAAACTAGGAATAAATTTCTGCATGTTCCAAATCACAGTGACCCATATTCTCTCTATTTCATGTTGGTTAACCAATCCTCCATCCTTTCTAATATATCGCCCAATACTCAGTTCTGAAGTTGTGTAATAACCTATCATATGACTGTTTATTGAATGCATTTGGAAATAGAAATACACGATTCTACTGTTTTGCCTTTACCTACCTCATTTATTATGTCATCAAAGACTGTTAATAAATTATTAATAAAATTGAGATCATGGCTGACCTATCTTACCTGCACCTTGCTACATTATCCTGACATTGCATAATTCTCTTAATATCCAAAACACTATCCACTTCTGTTTTGAGCTTCGACATATTTCCAATTGAAAAGCTCTGATCTTAGTGCACACTTTTTGCTTTCAGTTGGAATGGATCCAGCCATTCCTGACATAGGAACATAAGTAGACCATTCAGCCCATTGAGCCTGCCTCACCAACATAATTTAGTAACCATTAAATAAAGGGATTGTACAGCATAAGGGAAACATTGGCTTGAAAAACACTGTACATATGTATTGAAATTATGGTTTTTGTAGCCAGGTGTGAAAAATTACCAAGGTTTCCACAGGACACTGAAGGCAATATGTAGGAATTATGGGGTATACAACTCAGCCAAGTTTGGGCCATTCAACATTAACTATGATCTGTCAAAGCCCCTCTACCAGAAGATTGATCAATTTTCTGAAAGAATCTTACAGTAAGTATCCTACTGTAAAATAATCAGAGGTGAGTTGTGACCAACCAATAATCATTAACCATCTGGTAACTTTAAGCATCATATTTCCTTGTTTAGTAAATGCAGTTCAAAGCCCAATTAGTTGATGATATTTTTAATAGTTTATTTTCACTAATGTAGAGATCTTGCTTGTGGTGCTTTCACTAACCCTGATGCTCAACAGAACAAGCTGTTGAGTCCTATACCATTTAAATAATACTCTGAATATTTTCTCTGACTGACTGACTCTGTGCTTCCTGAGAAGTTAGAGAATGGTATTCTCCTTACATTGTTACGTTTGTGCCCTTCCCCACCACTAATGTTAGATTAATCGGCTTATTGTCCAGTCTTGAACGAAGAGCGTGGATTTTTACCACTGAAGTGGGTAGTAGGAGCTGGAAAAATTCCCAGCTTTGCTGGCCTGACTCTGAAAAATATGCTCACAAAAACAGGATTTTGATGCTGGGGTGAGGGGTGGTTGTAAATGTGGGCTGACCTGGAAAAGACATTGGACTTTAGGGAATGCTCACTGCGCATTGTACAATGTTCAGCACCATTCACAACCCATCAGATACTAAAGCAGTTCATGTTCAAATGTGTCAAGATCCGGACATTATCCAGGCTTAGGCTGACAAGTGACAAGCAACATTCGCACCACATAAGTACTAGGTAATTGCCATCTTCAATAACAGACAATCTAACCACTACCCTTTAACTTTCAATGGTATTGTTATGAATCCCCCACTGTCAACTTCCTAGGGATTACCATTGACCAGAAATTCAACTGGACTTGCCATATAGATATAGTAGCTACAAGAGCAAGACAGAGTCTAGGAATCCTGTAGTGAGTAATTCATAGAATCCCTACAGTGAAAAAACAGGCTATTTGGCCCATTAAATCCACACCAACCCTCCAAAAAGCATCCCACTCAGACCCACTTCCCCTGCCCTTTAATCTCACATTTACTAGAGGTAATCCACCTAGCCTGCACATCCCTGGACACTACGAGCAAAACAGCATGACCAATTCACCTAACCCACACACTTTTGGACTGTGGGAGGAAACCAGAGCACCCAGAGGAAACACAGACAGTCACCCGAGGCTAGAATTGAACCTGGGTCCCTAGCGCTGTGAGGCAACAGTGTTAACTACTCAGCCACTGTGCTACCTCAGTGACATTCATCTCCTGACTCCCCAAAGCCTTCCCACCATCTACAAGACAAGTCAGGAGCATGATGGAATACTCCCCACTTGCCTGGATAGGTGCAACTGCAACAACAAGCTTGACACTATCCAGGACAAAGCACTCCACTTGATTGGCACGGAGTCCACAAGCATCTGCTCCCTCCATCACTTATGCTCAGTAACAGCTGTGTGTACTAACTACAAGATACATTGCAGAAAATGACCAGGGCTCCTTAGACAGCCCTTCCAAACCCACAACCACTTCCACCTAGAAGGACAAGGGCAGCAGATACATGAAGACACCACCAACTGTAAGTTGCCCTCCAAACTATTCACCGACTTGACCTAAAAATATATTGCCATCCCTTCATTGACTCTGGGTCAAAATCCTAGAATTCCCTCCAAAAGGGTATTGTTGGTCTGCCTACTGCACATGGACTACAGCAGTTCAAGAAGATGGCTCACTAACACCTTCTCAATGGCAACTAAGGATGAGCCATAAATGGTGGCCAGCCAGTGATACTGACATTCCATGAGACAATAAAAAGAAAGGGGAAACCGTATGCAGTGACAAAGAGACAGCAACAGGAGGACACAAATTTAAGGTAATTGACAAAAGAACTAGAGGCAACATTGGGTCTGTTTTCATTAAACAACAACATCCATTTATTCAACACGTCTGACATAGTAAAATGGTCCAAGGAGAATTATCAAAAACTTGGAGACTGAGCTACATGAAGAAAGTATTAGAGCAAGTCAGCAAAGATTTGATCAAACAGATAAATTTTAATGAGTGTTTGAAGAAGAGGGAGGAAGAGAAGGACAAAATTTCAGCTTTGAGGCCTTGGCAGCTGGAAGCATGGCTGTTTACAGTGGATGCCCAGATCAGCAGTGAAGATGCGCAAGCATCATGGAAAATTGTCAGCCTGCAGGAGATCAAGGAGATAGGGTGCATCAGGTTCATGGGGCACTTTTAAAACTCAGGCAATTCCAGACTGAAAGCTGATGTAGGTCAGTGAGCATATGGTGATAGGTGAATTGGACTTGGTGTAAATTAGACTTTGGATGAGTTAACGTTTGTGGAGAATGTTGTGTTCCGAAATGCACTGTCTGACAACTAGGTCCAACAATAACTTAAATACTTGAGGAAAGAAGGAGGGAATAGGACCAATTGGACAGCTTTTTCAAGAGTCAACATGACATGATGGAACAAGTGTCTTCTTCCTGTGCTGTGTTATACTACCATTCTATAATATCACAATTATTCCAGGTTCATGGACAAACAGGGATCATGCTCCAGAAGCTTTCATTTGGCAATGGTGCAAGGTTTTGACAATGACCTTCTGCTGGGCCTTTCCATAGGAAATGAAGAAGTCGGAGGCCTACAAATAACTTGCTTTGCCCCAGACTGATCAATGCTGGTCTGCCGTACTGGTTCACAGCCTAATAGTTACAAATGTCTCTGTCTCTATGTCTCCTCCACCTGTCTCTGTCCCCACTCTTCCCCTCTTCTGAAATGGGACTGGTTCAAGGTGATTCTGGTCTTTCAGTCTGAAGTTGCAAGGAATGAGAAAATTGCAAATGTTTAATTTTTGTGGGAATAGACTTTCTGATGACTTCATATATCCTACTTTGTTCAATAGGTTTAACAAAGGTAGAAGAACTTCAATGAAAGGACAATTTAATAAAATTAAATTATCGTTGACAAACATCATTGATGAGCCTCTGCCCACGAAATCTACTGCAGAAAATACATGGCTTTGGAAATGCCGACAAAATTTCATGAAAACTGAGGTAAGTGGAAGTTGATAGTCACGTGGTAGTGACAGTTATTTTATACAATCTGCACAAAAACAAAGTTGCTGGAAAAGCTCAGCAAGTCTGGCAGCATCTGTGAAGGAGAAAACAGAGTTAACTTGAGTTCTGAGGAAGGGTCACCGGACCGGAAACATTAACTCTGTTTTCTCCTTCACAGATGCTGCCAGACCTGCTGAGCTTTTCCAGCGACTTTGTTTTTGTTCCTGATTTACAGCATCTGCAGTTCTTTTGGTTTTTATACAATCTGCAGATGTACAGAGTTCCAAAGAAGAGTCATCAGACTTGAAACATTAGCTCTGTTCCTCTCTCCACATACTGCTAGACCTGTTGAGTGTCTCAAGCACGTTCTGTTTTGATTTCAGATATAGAGAGCTTGATATTGAAAAGTTGAAGCCCATTGCATAAAAAGGATAGGGTCAGCTGAGACTAGCTGCATGATAGTTGTTCACCCATTACATCGTTCCCTGTGTTTTAGGTTGGTGGAAGGTGTACAATGGGGTTCCCCAGGAATCAATGTTAAAGACTCCAGCTTTCTTTGACATATTGTGACAGCATGGGAGAATTAAGCACAAATTTAAAATTTGCTGTTGGTTTTAAAAAAAAGTCATATTATGAACTGTGAGGATTGTGATAAAGTTCATGAGGACAGGCTAGTGGAATGGGCAAATGGAATTTAATCCATGGGAGTGAAATATTCTGTGAGGATGAACAAGGAACAACAATGTAATATAAAGGGGTCAATTCTAAAGCAACAACAGGAGGAAAGGGAGCTGGTGTGTATTCATTAAACATGGCTGGATTCTGGGCCTTATGATTGGAGATCAGGAAGTTCTAAAACACTGATTTGGAATTAATTGACATATTGTTATCAATTTTTGCATGACTGCGTAAAGTTCGATGAGGGATTCTCAAATCATGGGCTGCAACTTCTTACAGGGTCACAGAAGTCACATTTGGTGTTGTGAGCACACCTCTGATGCACCAATGCAGTTGTACTCTACATCCTATTAATAAACCTGAAAATATTCTATAGTTTATTAACTGCTGTCTCCATCTGTCATGCCACCTTCAATAACCTGTGCACATATATACCAGGAACCTCTGCTCCTGCACCCCCTTTAGAATTGTCCTCCATATTTTGTATGATCTTTCAGTGTTCTTCTGACTAAAGTGCATCACCTCACACTTCTCTGCATTGAATCTCACTTGCCACCTTTTGGCCCATTCCACCAAGTTGTTAATATCCTTTTGAAGTTCTGCATTGTCCTGTTCACAGTTTACAATTTGTCCAAATTTTGTGTAATCTGAAAACTTTGAAATTGTCTCCTGCACACCACAAATTAGGCCACTAATATCCCCTTAAATATTTGCTGCTGCATCTCTATTAACCTATCCCTTTAACCTAAATCACCAGTTCACTTTTGCTAGCTCTGCTTTCATGTCTTCATTTTTGCCCTTGTTAAATTCAAAGTAGTAGTCTTGGAACCAAACTTCTCTCCTTTAAATGCGTGTAAAATTCATTCATATTATGGTCACATTTCCCAGGGTGCTTTTACTATGATGTCTAAATAATCCTATCTGGTCAAAACCTGGTCCAGTACAGCCTGGTTGGTGCCACAACATGCTAAGACATTTAGAGATAGTGAGAACTGCCGATGCTGGAATCTGAGCTAACACAGTGTGGAGCTGGAGGAACACAGCAGACCAGGCAGCATCAGAGGAGCAGGAAAGCTGACATTTCAGGTCGAGGCCCTTCTTCAGAAATAATGTTTTTGGAACAATGAGTTCCCCCTCTAGATTACTTTGTCCAATCTGATTTTTCCAGTCTATGTAAAGGTGAAACTCCCCCTTGATAATAGTTGTACCCCTTTTGACAATCTTCCATTATTTGTTCCTTGATACCTTGTCCTACAATATGGTTACTGTTAGGGGTTCTGTACACAACTGCCACAGGATGCCTCTTTCTTTACATTGCTCATTTTTCTCCAGACGCTTCTATATCCTGGTTTCCTGTCTATTGTGCTGATGTCATCTGCTCCACACTTGCCTAGCCTCCTGACCATCCTGAATATCACATAATCTTTAATATTGAGATCCCAATCTAGGTCACCCTACAACCATGTCTCATGTCATGTACACTAGACCATACTTATTCATCTCAATTTATACCACAAGTTCATCTGTTTTGTTTTGACCCAGGTAATGTTTGGGTACCTGGGTTCAAATCCTGCCACGGCAGATAGTGGAATTTGAATTTAATAAATATCTGGAATTAAGAATCTAATGATGACCATGAACCCATTGTCGATTGTTGGAAAAAGCCGTCGGGTCCACTAATGGCCGTTATTGAAGGAAACTACCATCCTTACCCAGTCTGGCCTACATGTGACTCCAGACCCACAGCAATGTGGTTGACTCATAACTGCCCTCCGGGCAATTAGGGATGGACAATAAATACTGGCTTAGCCAGTGACACCCTCATCCTGTGAGCGAATAAAGAAAAAAATATGAATAAAGAATATTATGTATATTCAAATACAGTGCCTTAATTTTTATCCTTTTATTATTTTTGTAACCTGTAATCTTATCTGTTGTTTTGTTCTTAGGTCTGTATTCTTCCCTGCATTCTTCTATATTCTATCCCCTCCTGCTATTGTCTGTTTACCATCATTTCTTTCCTCTGTTGGTTTTTACCCACTCTCATTCACCACATTTGGGCCCTTGCAGCCATTACTTAGTTTAAAACCCGCTCTACATATGCAGCTTACAAGAACACCTGTCCCAGTATGGTTCAGAAATGGACCGTCCCACAAAACTGGAACCCAGTTCTCCCATACCAGTCTTTCAGCCACGTACTTATCTCTGTAACTTTCTATACCCTATGTCAATTTGCACCTGGATCAATTAATAATCTAGAAATTAATACCTTTGAAGTTCTGCTACTTAATTTGGTGCCAAACTCCACATTCTGGCTGTGCAGAACCTCCTTTGTAGTTCTGCCTATGTCATTGGTGCTTCCATGGACCATGACAACTGGATCTTACCGCTCCCACTGCAAGTTCTTCTCCAGGGAAGATATCCTGAACCTTGACACTAGGCAGAGAACACAGCATTTGGACTCGTGCTCTTAGTTGCAGAGAACAGTGTCCACCTTCACCACCACCACCACTATCCCCACCCTGACTACGATGTCCCCAACTACCACTACATTCCTTTTGGCTCCTCTGATTGAATGGCTTCCTGTACTGTCATGCTGTGACCATTTAGCTCAAGAATCCCACAACCCCTGCTCTCAACTAAACATGCTGAGAGAACTTAAAACCTTTTAGAAAATTGCAGAGGCGGACACCTGCACTCCTGATATCAGAGTTCCCTTACTTGACTCACTTGCAGTCACACCCTCCTGTCCCTGTCCCTGACCACTGACCATATCGGAACACCCTATCTGAAGAGGTGTGACTGCCTCCATGTACAGTGAATCCAGGTAACTTTCCAGTCCCTGATGCATCAAGTGTCTATAATTCAGCCTCTAGCTTATCAACTCGACATTGAAGCTGCTTGAACTTCAAACATTTGCTGCAGATTTTTTGCCCTGGATCACATTAGTATCCTAGTAACTATGCCTCACTGGTATGCCAACTGCAGCCACTCTTCCCAGTCTGTTTCACACCAATGCTGACTGCAAACCACTCTTTCCAGTCTGCTTCACAGTGATGTTGACTGCAGGCTACTCTTGCTGTACTGTTTCATTGTGGTGCTGACTGGAGGCCATTCTTCCCCATTCACAGGTCTGCCATTTTTATTGGCCAATTTGTATGCCCCTTTATTGGATCTAATGCTATCCCCAATTTCTCTTGTTTGCCATGGTTGAGCCCCGTTTCTCATTTTATTTTCATAAAATTCAGGAATGAAAATTGTTGCATTTCCTCCATGCTCCCTTTAAGCTTTTGCCATTGCCTATCCATTATCATCTTTTTAATAAAGTTCCCCAACTAATCATAGCCAGCACACACTTCATACTATTGAGGTTCCTTTATTTAGATTCAGGACCTGAGTCTCAGAATCAGCTACATTATTCTCCACCTTAAAAAAAAACTATCATATTGTTATCACCCTTTCCCCAAAGGGCCTTGCACAGTTAGATTGCCAATTATTTCTTTCTCAGTTTTGTATGTTTCAATAAGATCACCTCATTCTTCTAAATTCTAATGAGTACAGGTCCAACCTACTCAAAGTACATCATGTAGGACTGAGATGAGAAGACATTTCTTTGCCTAGAGAGTGGTGTATTTGTGGGATTGTCTGTCACAGAATGCAGTTGAGACAAAAACATTGAATGTTTTCAAGAACAATTTAGATATAGTTCTTAGGACTAAGGTAGGGTATGGGGAGCAAGCAGGAACAGTGTACAGAGTTGGATGATCAGCCGCAAACATATTGAATGGCAGAGTGGGCTCAAATGGACAAATTGCCTACTCCTGCTCCTATTTTCTATGTTTCTAACCTCTTGTTATAAAACAGTCCCTCCATGCCAGTATATTTTTTACCTTAGATAGAGGCCCAAGTGTTCCAGTTGTGGTCTGACCAGTGTCTTGTATAGTTTTAGTAAAATCTCACTACTTTTATATTCTATTCTATTTGAAATAAAGGGCAACATTCCATTTGCTTTCCCTATTACCCACTGAACTTGGATTTTTGTGATTCAAGCATGAGGTTGCCCAAATCTCTGTTCTGTAGCTTTCTGTAGTCCTTCTCCATTTAAATAATATTCAGCTCCTCTTCTTCCTGCCAAAATGCATAATCTCACATTTTCCCACATTATATTCCAACTGCCAAATTTTGGCACTCACTCAACCTGTCTGTATCTTTCTGCACTTCTAGTCATCCTAGCAACTTTTTTGTCATCTGCAAACATCTGCCAGTGTGCATTCACTTTTCTCATCTAAGTCATTAATATTCATTGAAAATAATTGTTGCCCCAGAACTGATCCCTGTGGCACTCATCTAAATACAAATGGCTATACCCCTTATCCCAAATCTGTCTCTTCTATCAGTTAGCAATACTCTATCCAAGCAAATATACTACTCCAATACCATGGGCTCTTATTAAATAGCCAAATATGTGGTACCTTAATAACGAAATGAGATGCTACTAAAAAGAACATAAGAACAAGGAACAGGAGTAGGCCATCTGCCCCTTCAAGCGTGCTCTGCCACTCAATACAATCATGGCTGATCTTTTTGTGGCCTCAGCTCCACTTACCTACCCTCTCATCATAAATCTTAATTCCCTTTCTGTTCAAAAACTTATCTATCTTAGCTTTAAAAACATTCCATGAGGAAGCCTCAACTATGCCGCTGAGCAGGGAATTCCAGAGATTCACCACCCTTTGGGTGAAGAAGTACCTCCTCAATTCAGTCCTAAACAATCTTCCCCTAATTTTGAGGCTATGCCCTCATGTTCTAGTTTCACCTGCCAGTGGAAACCTCCTCCCTGCTTCTATTCTATCTATTCCCTTCATAATTTTATATGATTCTATAAGATTCCCTCTCATTCTTCTAAATTCCAATGAATATAGTCCCAGTCTACTCGGCCTCCCCTCATGAGCCAACCCTATCAACTCCAGAATCAACCTATTGAATCTCTCTGCACCCCCTCCAGTGCCAGCACATCCTTCCTCAAGTAAGGAGACCAGAACTGTACACAGTACTCCAGGTGTGGCCTCACCAGCACCCTTACAGATGTAACATAACCTCCTTGCTTTTAAACTCAATCTAGCAATGAAGGACAAGATTCCATTTGCCTTCTCAATTACCTGTTGCACCTACAAACCAATCTTCTGCAATTCATGCACAAGGACATCCAGGTCCGTCTGCACAGCAGCATGCTGCAATTGTTTACCGTTCAAATAATAGTCCTTTTTACTGTTATTCCTACCAAAATGGATGACTTCACATTAATCAACATTGTACTCCATTTGCAAGACCTTTGCCCACTCTCTTAAATTATCTTTATCCCTCTATGAACTTTCAGAATCCTCTGCATGCTTTGCTCCACCACTCACCTCAGTGTCACCGCAAACTTTGACATACTACATATGGTCCCCAACTCCAAATCATCTATGTAAATTGTAAACAATTGCAGTGCCAACACCAATCCCTGAGGCACACCACTAGTCACTGATCGCCAACCAGAAAAGCACTCATTTATCCCCACTCTTTGCTTCCTGTTAATTAACCAATCCTCCATCCATGCTAACACATTGCCCGTAATACTGTGCCACTTTATCTTATGCAGCAGCCTTTTGTGCGGCACCTTATCGAATTCCTTTTAGAAATGTAGATACACCACATCTACTGGGGTCCCCATTGCCAATGCACTCAATGTCTTCATAGAATTCTAGTAAATTAATTAAACGTGACCTGTCCTTCATGAACCCATGCTGCATCTCCCCAATGGGACAATCCCTATCTAGATGTCTTGCTATTTCTTCCTTGATGATAGATTCAAGCATTTTCCCCACTACAGAAGTTAAACTAACTGGCCTATTATTCCCCATCTTTTGTCTACCTCCTTTTTTAAACAGTGGCATCATATTTGCTATTTTCTAATCTGTTGGAACTGCCCCAAACTCCAGCAAATTTTGGAAAATTACCATGAGCACATTTGCTATTTCTCCCATCACCTCTTCTAGTACCCTAGGATGCATTCCATCAGGGCCAGACACTTGTCTACCTTTGCCCAACACTATCTCTTTAGTGATAATGATTGTGTCTGGGTCCTCACCTACCTTAGTCTTCTTGTCATCAATGACTAGCATGTCATTCATGTCCTCCACGGTGAAGACCAACACAAAATACCTGTTCAATGCCTGGGCTATTTCCTCATTTCCCATTATTAAATCTCCCTTCTCATCCTCTAAAGGACTAATGTTTACCTTAGCCACGCTTTCATTTTATATATTTGTAGCAAAATTTGCTATCTGCCTTTATATTCTGAGCTAGTTTACTTTCATAGTCTACCTTACTTTTCTTTACAGCTTTATTTCTGACTTTCTGTTGACCTTTAAAGTTTTCCCAGTCTTCTAAGTTTCCCACTAGTCTTTACCACTTTGTATGCTTTATCCTTCAATTTGATAGCCTCCCTTATTTCCTCAGACATCCATGGCTGATTACCCTTTTTTCTACAGTCCTTCCTTTTCACTGGTATATAGTTTTGCTGAGCACTTTGAAAAATTACTTTGAAAGTCCTCCACTGTTCCTCACCTGTGCCACCATAAAGACTTTGCTTCCAGTCTACTTCAGCCAACTCCTCCCTCATCCTTTTGTAGTCTCATTTGTTTAAGCACAGGACCCTGGTATTGGATTTTATCTTCTCACTTTTCATCTGTATTCTAAATTCAACCACACTGTGTTCGTTCCTTCCAAGAGGATCCCTAACTATGAGACTATTAATTATTCCTGTCTCATTATGCAGGACCAGATCTAGGATAGCTTGCTCTCTCATCGGTTCCATTACATACCGTTCAAGAAAACTATCGCAGATACATTCAATGAACTCCTCCTCAAGGCTGCCTTGAGTGATCTGGTTCGATCCCCCCTGATAATTGCCATACCATTTTTACAGGCATTAGTTATTTCTTCATTTATTGCCTGCCCCAATGTGATGTTATGATTTGGTGGCCTATAGACTACATCTATCAGTGACTTTTTCTTCGTAAAATTTCAAATTTCCACCCAAATGGATTCAACCTTATTCTGCATAGCACCTATATCATCTCTGATTGCTGCCCTGATGTCTTCCTTAAATATCAGAGCTACACCACCTATCTTACCTTCCTGTCTGTCCTTCCAAATAGTCTGATATCCCTGGATATTTACTTCCCAGTCATGACCATCCTGCAACCATGTCTCCGTAATGGCTGCTAAATCAAACTCATTCATGATGATTTGTGCTGCTAATTCATCTACCTTATTTTGAATGCTATGAGCATTCAGGTAAAGTGCCTTTATGCTAGTTTTTAATGCCTTCTTTTTGAATTCCAGCATTTCCATTAATAATATCTCCTGAGGTTTCCTTCCTTTTAACTTTTTTCATAGTCTGCAATGTAGTTAAATCCTCCCGCACACATTAACCTGCTGCTTTCTTTTCTATTTATGATTATACTTCCTATCATTTTCCCCTTCCCTTCACTCACCCCCCCCCCAGTCCACTAGTTTAAAGTGACCACCCTATTTATCCTTTTCTCTGGAACAATGGTTCCAGATCGGTTCAGGTGGAGACCTTCCCAATGGTACAGATCCCACCTGTTCCAAAACTGATGCAAATGCCCCATGAAATGGAACACCACTTTCCCACCTCCCTTAGCCATGTATTTCCTGCCCAAGAAACAAAACATCCACGTACTTCTCCCCCTCCCAGATGTGTCAGTGTTTGAAGCTCAGATTCAAACTCATCAATTTAGGACAGCACGGTGGCTCAGTGGTTAGTACTGCTGCCTCACAGCATCAGGGACCCAAGTTTGATCCCATGCTCAGGCAACTGTGTGTGTGTGGAGTTTGCATGTTCTCCCCATGTTTGCGGGGGTTTCCTCCAGGTGCTCCGGTTTCCTCCCACAGTCCAAAGATGTGCAGGCTAGGTGGATTGGATAGGCTAAATTGCCCCTAGTGTTCAGGGATGTCTAGATTAAGTGGGTTATTGGGGCCTGGGTCAGGGTGGGATGCTCTGAGGTTTAGTGTGGACTCATTGGGCCGAAGGGCCTGTTCCCACACTGTAGGGGATTCTGTGAACTCTGAACCGAAGCTCCTTGAGCAAACAATACATGCTGCAAATGTGGTCACGGCAGCTCACAATGGAAACTGTCAGCTCCTACATCATGCAGCTCCAGCACTTCACCTGCCCAGCCTTCTCCACTTAAAAGTAGTTATCTGTTAATTTACATAAATTTACTAATGAGTTAATTAATTTATTAATACTTCTTTGCTGTGTTCTTTTTCAAATTTAGTGCAGATTTCCTACAGCCAATCAGGTCACAGCTTCCCTGTGACATCACTCGTTTTTTTTCCCCACGGCTACAATATTCCCCAAGCTGTTAGTTTTATACTCATCCTGTGCTGCAGCTCCATCCTCCAACTGTTCCCTGCAGACTACGCCATCTCTAGTCTGTCAAATATATTGTAATAATACCTCTGTATTTATATTGTGCTTGTTAATGTCGTTTTAAGGATTGCGTAGTTCTGTACACTGACAACTTATGCCCGCTCACTAATTGGAAGACGCTTTAACTATTGTAATATGAGAGATTGGTTGTGTTTTTTCTCCCACCTTTGGGTTCAGAAAACCTGGCAGTGAAACATGATAGGAAGGGATTTTACTGCAGGGACTCCTGTCCCTAATAAGTACTGATCAAAACTACGATTGCAAGGTCTTGTGCTGTTGGTTTCCTCTCGACAGTGGAAAATAGAAGAGAAGAATGTTCATGTGAATGTTTTGTTGTTGATAGTGGTAGGACCTTCAAAACCCCCCGCTTTTGGGGTTTTCACTCAGAGCCAAACTCCCCACAAGTATCTGACCTTGTATGTGATGTAATATCAGCAAAATAAAGCAGTCTTTATTTTGAATGAAACACATTATTGCTGGCAAATTGAAACAGAAACTATGAACTATTTGTACACATACAAGCTACAAGTAATGTCTTACACCTAACAGGATATACAATGTGATATTAATAACCTTTAAATTTTGTTACAGCTCACTGCATTATTAAACGACCTGACAAGACAGATAATTGACAGGAAGCAGCATATTTATAATGCAGCTGTGTTGTCTGTTCAACATTCAATGAAACCAGCATACGAAGGTATTGTCCATTTTAAAACAGCTGACTTTGCCAGCATTGAGACAGTATGATGTGTCAGATAGCTGAGGCATGACATGCCTTGGTATTGGGGGTATAGTGTGTGTTAGTCAGTAACTTCCTATCTCTAACAACACCATCTAGCCTACTCCGGATGACATTCGGTTCATTGCCATCACTGAATCTGTCACAATTAAGGTATAACCATTTGTAGAACCTGTGTAGTCTGGTTATGTCAGTATTGTGGGTACAAGAGGTCAGAGGATGGGAATTCTGAGGAGAACACAACTTCCACTATTTGGCAAAATTCTGACTTCTAGGTCACAGAATTATGCCCTTTTCTTCTCCTCCCTCTGGTTGGCCCAGTGGAACTGTTAAACAACTGGTTTTTTTTTTTAAAAAAAAGCAGAATCCCTACAGTGTGGGGACAGTCCCTTCGGCCCAACCAGTCCACATCTCCCTCAGGGCATCCCACCCAGACCCATCCCCTATAGCCCATCTAATCGACACATCCCTGAACACTATTGGCAATTGAGCATCGCCAATCCACCTAACCTGCACATCTTTGGACTGTGGGAGGAAACTGGAGCACCCGGAGGAAACCCATGCAGACACGGGGAGAATGTGCAAACTCCACACAGACAGTTGCCCGAGGGTGGAATCGAACCCAGGTCCCTGGCACTGTGAGGCAGCAGTGCTAACCACTGAGCCACTGTGCTGCCCTTCTCTTCAGCTGTCAGTAGCATTTGGCCTGCAGAGTGCCTTGCTGCACTGGGCTGTCTTTCTGGTGCTGTTCAGGATCAATGTCAATTCTGTTCAAGCTGTGACATTTAAGATAATTCCTGAAACAACCATTCGTTGCTTAGTTATGAATGGACTTGCTGGTAAAATGGTGGAGACGGGTTGACTCGAGTGGTTAGGGTCTGGAACGTACTGTCTGAGTGTGGAATCGGCAGATTGACTTCAGTGGTTAAGGTCGAGAATGTACTGTCTGACAGGTGTAGGGGAAGCAGGATCAATTGAAACATTCAAAAGGGAATTAGATGATTATCTGAAAAAGAAGCATATGCAGGATTCCAGAAACAAAGTGGGGGGAATGGCACTCAGTGATTCACACATTCAGAGAGCTACTACAGACATAAGTGGCCACCATCTACACTGTAACAATGCTGTACTTTTATAATCTTAAATAGTTATTTTCTTCTCAGGAGTCTTTCACTTTCACAATATAGGGAACAAGAGCTGCTGCATTCATTGGGAACAGACTATGGCTATGTAGGCTGTGGGTATATAGGGCTGAGAATGGGGGTGAGTTCATGGGTAAAGATTGGGGCCAGGCTGGGATTTGGGTGGAAATGCCGAGAGCAGGACCAAGAGTTTGCAGGGCTGGAGGTGGTGGTGGAAAGCTTCAGCTTTCCAACATTGGGCCAGATGAAGAAATCGAAGCTGGATGGAGGTTATGGTGGAGAAGGCAGGGGACATGACTGAATGAATGACCAGTCAAGTGAGGAGAAGGAGATGCAAGTGAGAGCATGGAAGAGGTGGAGGCTGTGTGGGTAGCGGGTTGCTTGTTAAGTTTTCTTACTGGAATGGGAGGAGTTTGGCTGAAACATGAGTGGAAAATTACTGTTTTACAAAATATTTTAAAAGCAGATTTTCTTGTTTGTGATGTATAGTCATATGAAATAGTACTGTGCTTCTTTATTGCTTTTCTATTCTGCTGGTATTGAAAGCATGTTAATTTTCTGTTCTTTTGTACATGATCATACCTGGAATGTGGACCTCACTAGTAGGGCCAGTTTTTATTGTCTATCCCTAACAGTGCTTCAGAAGGTGGTGGTAAGTTAAAATGGAGTCTCATTTGAAAACAGATTGCAAAGCACTAATGTCATCCTTACGTTGCATTGCATGTATCCAAATAGGTCAGGTCACGTTTTTAAATAAAACAAAGTGCTGGAGAAACTCTGACTCTTCATCTCTCCAGATATGCTGCCAAACTCAAGAGTTTCTCCAGCACTTTGTTTTTATTTTGCTTTCATTTGTTTTGTTGTTGGCATGTGCTTAATCAGAGGCATCTACCCAACAATGTGGGAAATTTCCCAGGTATGTTCTGTGAATAAAAAGCAGGTCAAACCCAACCCTTTCAATACCACCCCATCAGTCTATTCTCAATCATCAGTAAAGTGACAGAAGGTGTCATCAGCACTGATATCGAGCAGCACCTGCTCAGTGACGCCCAGTTTGGGTTCTGTCAGGGCCACTCAGCTCCTGACCTCATTACAGTCTTGGTTCAAACAATGACAAAAGGGCTCAATTCCAGGGGCGAGGTGAGAGTGACAGCCCTTGACATTAAGGCAGTGCTTGACTGGGTACGGCATTAAGGAACACTTGCAAAACTGGAATTAATGTGAATCGGGGGCAAACTGTCCATTGTTTGGAGTCAAACCTGACACACAAGTAGATAGTTATGGTTGTTTGCTGTCAGTCAGCTCAGCTCCAGTACCTCTCTGCAGGAGTTCCACCCATCTTCAGCTGCTCTATCAATGGACCTATCCTCCATCTTAAGGTCAGAAGTGGGGACGTTTGCCAAAGATTGCACAATGTTCAGCTCCATTTGGTGACTCCTCAGATACTGAAGCTGTCCTTGTTCAATTGCAAGAAGATTTGGATAGCCTTTAGGTTTGAACTGAAAAATGACAAGCTATGTTTGTTTCACAGTGTCATGCAATGACCGTCTCCAACAAAAAGGGAATCTCGTTCTTTGCCCTTTACCATTCAATGGCATTACCATCACTGAAACCCATCACACCATGCTGTTGTGCCAAACATGACTCCAAATTAAACTAATCCTATCTACCTACCATTGGTCCATATTCCTCCGTTCCTTGCATATTAGTGTGCTGATCTAGAAGTCCCTTAAATGCCCCTATCATATCAACCTCCACCACTATCCCTGGCAGCACATTCCAGACTACTACTACCACTGTTTAAAAAAAAAACTTGCCTCTCGCCTTAAATGCATGTCTGCTAGTATTAGATATTTCAACTCTAGAAAAAAAAGATTCTGTCAACCCTATGTATGCATCTCATAATTTTATAGACTTGTATCAAGTCTCCACTCAGCCTGTGCCGCTCCAGAGAAAACAGCCCAAGTTGTTCATTCTCACACCCTCTAATCCAGGGCTCATCCTATAAAACCTTCTCCAAAGGCTCCACATCCTTCCTGTAATGTGACGACCAGAATTGAACACAATACTCTAATTGTGACCTAACCAAAATCTCAAAGCTGCAACCTGACATCCTGACTCTTGTACTCAATTCTCCGTCTAATAAAGGCAAGCATGCCATATGCCTTTACCACCCTATCTTCTTGCATGGGCACTTTCAAGGAGCTATGGACTTGAACCCCAAGATCCCTCTGTACATTAATGCTGTTCAAGGTCCTGCCATTAATTGTATATCTTTTCTTACCATTTGATCTCTCAATGTGCAGCATTTGACACCCAGATTAAACATCATCTGCCATTTCTCCGCCCACATTTTTAGCTGATCTATATCCCACTGCATCCTTTGACAACCTTCTACATTATCCACAACTCCTCCAATCTGTAACATCTGCAAACGTATTAACTCAAACATGTACATTTTCTCAAATAATTTATATATATCACAAACAGCAGAGGTCACAGTACGGATCCCTGCACAACACCACTAGTCACAGATCTTCAGCCAGAAAAACATGCTACCCTCTGCCTTCTACAGGCAAACCAGTTCTGAATCCAAGCAGCCAAGTCACCGTGGATCATCATCTGAGCCCTTTATATCAAATCCAGTCCATGGTTATGATGGTGCCTGGGTGTCCTTGGAGAGGGAGCATGTGGTATCCACATTCCAACTCTATTTTCATGGAGTCCCTTCCCACTCTCTGTACCCCACTCTACTTTGATAGTTTGCATTGCCCATAATGAGCTTTGCTTGTAAATACTGATGGGCTACATGGGTAATTATTGGCGGTGGTTGGTGTTTAGAAAAGAAAACAAAATGGGCTTTACTTATAAATCTTTAATTGACCACATGTGTGATTACTGGTAGAGATTAATAGTTTAAAAATGAAGTCACGGTGATTTGATAGTGTGCAAGCTGTTCAGTTGTGTATAGTACACTAATGGATATAAAAATAGAAAAACTAAAGCAGAGCCAGGAGGGTTCTTGTAATTCAGTAATAGTGTCCTTGCCTCTGAACCAGGAGACCAAGGTTGAAGTCCCACCTGCTCAGAGGTGTCTTATGACATATCTGAACAGGTCTACTAAAAAAAGTAGCCCCAATGCACACCCTTTTGAGTTATTTGAAAATTATTTTGTTGTGCCTTGGTTATCCTTCAGCCAGTGTTGCACAGTAGCAGCAGTGTGTACAATCTACAAGATGCACCAGAAACTCACCAAGGATCTTCAGATAGCATCATCCAAACCATGACCTCTAATCGCCTCGAAGGACAATGACAGCAGATGCTTGAGAAATCTGCAAGATGACATTCAAGCCACTCACCATCCTGATTTAGAAATATGTCACAGTCCATCATAATCTCAAAAACCTGGAACTCCCTAGCTAGCAGCAATGGAGGTGTCCCTAGACCTCAAGAAAGGAAGTTTGAGAGTAGCTGACCATCACCTTCTCAAGGGAAATTTGGGATGGGCAATAAATTCTGATCATTTCAGTGATGGGCAAATCCTGAGAATGAAAATTATTATTTTTACATTTCAGAAGCTGCACGAAAGAAAGGTGTTGGAATTGTGCCTTTCATGCAGAGAATATTAAATGAGCATGTTGAACAACTGAAAAATAAGCTTTTCAAAGATTCAAGAGCCAGTGTGATGGAACAATTCAACAACATGAAGGTTTCTTTCAGATTCATACTGTTTTCTGGCTAGAGGTTTGCAAACATGCATGCCTCAATATAGAACACAGTACATACCCGCTGAAATACAGTGTTCCATACGGAGTAATGTACACGTACTAAAACATATGCTGTGTTCCATATTGCATAATGTACACACACTGAAATACACACTCTGCAATAGAACAAGAACAAAAAATTAGAGCACAGGAACAGGCCGTTTGGCCCTCCAAGCCTGCACCGACATGCTGCCTGTCACAACTAAAACCCCCTACCCTTCCGGGGACTGTATCCCTCTATTCCCGACCTATTCATGTATTCGTCAAGACACATTAAAAGTTACTATTGTATTTGCTTCCACTATCTCCCCTGGCAGCGAGTTCCAGGAACCTACCATCCTCTGTCAAAAACTAGCCTCGTACATCACCTTTAAACCTTGCCCCTCACACCTTAAACCTCTGCCCCCTTGTAACTGACTCTTCCACCCTGGGAAAAAAGCTTCTGATTGTCCATGCCCTTCATGATCTTGTAGACCTCTATCAGGTCACCCTTCAACCTCAGTCATTCCAGTGAGAACAAGCCAAGTTTCTCCAACCTCTCCTCGGAGCTCATGCCGTCCCAATTGTTTCTGTACCCTCTCCAAAGCCACCACATCTTTCTGGTAGTGTGGCGACCAGAACTGAATACAATATTCCAAATGCAACATAATTAACGTTCTATAATGCTGTAACATTACCTGCCAATTTTTAAACTCAGTGCTCCAGCCAATGAAGCCAAGCATGCCATATATCTTGTTGACTACCTCCTGCATTGCCACTTTCAGTGACCTGTGTACCCGTACACCCAGATCCCTCTGCCTATCAGTACTCTTAAGGGTTCTGCCATTTACTGTATATTTTCCATCTGGATTAGACTTTCTGAAGTGCACTACCTCACATTTTTCTGGATTAAACTCCATCTGCCGTCTCTCTGCCCAAGTCACCAACCAATCTATATCCAGCTGTATCCTCTGACTGTCCTCATCGCTATCCGCAATTCCACCAACCTTTGTCATCAGCAAACTTAATCAAACCAGTTACATTTTCCTCCAAATCATTTATATATATTACAAATAGCAAAAGGTCCCAACACTGATCCCTGAGGAACGCCCCTAGTCACAGCCCTCCATTCAAAAACACATCCTTCCACTGCTACCTTCTGTCTTCTATGACTGAGCCAGTTTGTTATCCATCTTGCAAGCTCACCTCTCACCCTGTGAGACTTTATCTTCTGTTTTAGTTTGCCATTAGGGACCTTGTCAAAGGCCTTACTGAAGTCCACGTGGACAACATCCACTGCCCTACTCATTGAGTTTTTTGAGGAAGTGACAAAGATGATCAATTAAGTTAGTGAGACATGACCCCCCCCTTCACAAAACCACATTGCCTCTTGCTAATACACCCACTGGTTTCCAAATGGGAGTAAATCCTGTCTCGAAGAATCCTCTCCAATAATTTCCCTACCACTGACGCAAGGCTCACCAGCCTGTAATTAGCTGGATTATTCCTGCCACCCTTCTTAAACAAAGGAACAATGTTAACTATTCTCCCGTCCTCAAGGACCTCCCCTGTAGCCAGTGAGGGTGTAAAGATTTCTCTCAAGGCCCCAATTTCCTCCCTTGCTTCTCTCAGTATTCTGAGGTATATCCCATCAAGCCCTGGGGACTTGTCTACCTTAATGTTTTTCAAGAACCCCAATACCTGCTCCCTTTTTATCTCAATGTGACCCAAACTATCTACACACCCTTCCCCCGACTCATCATCCCCAAGTCTTCTATGGTGAATACTGACAAATTACTCATTTAACACCTCGCCCATTTCTTCTGGCTTCACACAAATTTCCTTCCCTGTCCTTGAGTAGGCCAACCCTCTTGCTCTCTCATTATCCAAGGTTCCCTAAACTTGCTATGCTTATCCTTCATCCTTACAGGAACATGCCGGTGCTGAGTTACTATCAACTTACACTTGAAAGCCTCCCACATACCAGATGTTGATTCACCTTCAAACATCTGCCTCCAATCTACATTCTTCAGTTCCTGCCTAATATTGTAGTAATTAGTCTTCCCCCAATTTAGCACCTTCACTTGACAACTACACTTGTCTTTATTCATCAGTACCTTAAAGCTTACTGAATTGTGATCACTGTTCCCGAGTTGCTCCCCTACTGAGATGTCGATCACCTGGCCAGGCTCATTCCCCAATACTAGGTCTAGTATAGCCCCTCTCCTCGTTGGACTATCCACATACTGTTTCAAGAAGCCCTCCTGGATGCTCCTTACAAACTCTACTCCATCCGCACCCTATGCGATAAGTGAGTCCTAGCCAATATATGGAAAGTTAAAAATCACCCATGACAACAACAGTGTTTTTTTTGTTAAAAAAGTTGCCAAAATCTGCCTACATATCTGTTCCTCGATCTCCTGCTGGCTGTTGGGAGGCCTATAGTAAACCCCAAACATTGTGATTGCACCCTTCCTGTTCCTAAGCTTTACAACGAGGCAATATGGGTATGAGCCATCCAAGGTGTCATCCTGCAGTACAGCTGTGATATTATCCTTAATAAGTAGTGCAACCTCCCCCCCCCCCCCCCACACCTTTTATATCCCCCCTGAAACATCTGTATCCTGGAACGTTAAGCTGCCAATCCTGTCCCTCCCTTAACCAAGTCTCTGTAATAGCAACAACATCATAGTTTCGAATAATAATCCAAGCTCTAAGTTCATCTGCCTTATGTTATACTTCTCACATTGAAACAGATGCACTTCAGTTCACCAGACCCGCTTTGATCAGCAACCACACCCTGCCTGCTCTTCCTGAGTCTTACTGGTCCTATTCTCTAGTTCCCTTTCAGTCCATTCACCTTTGCCTTGGTTCTCACCCCCCTGCCAAGCTAGTTTAAATCCTGAGTGATACCAGCAAGCCTGCCAGCCAGAATGTTTGTGCTCCTCCAATTTAGATGCAATCCATCCTTCTTGTACAGGTCCCACATGCCCTGGAAGAGATCTCAATGGCCCAGATATCTGAAAGCCTCCTTCCTACACCATCTGTTTAGCCACATGTTGAACTGTACTATTTTCCCATTCCCAGCCTCACTAGCACATGGCACAGGGAGTAATCCCACGATTACAACCTTGGAGGTCCTGTTTTTTTTAAAACTTTCTACCTAACTCCCTGAAATGCTGCTGCAGGACCTTGTCCCTCATCCTACCTATGTTGTTAGTACCAATATGTACCACAACCTCTGGCTGTTCACCCTCTCCCTTCAGAAGCTTTCTGTTCCTGCAGAAACATCCTGGACCCTTGCACCAGGAAGGCAACATACCGTTGTGGAGTCTCTTTTACATGCACAGAATCGCCTCTCTGTACCCCTAACTGTAGAGCCCCCTCTAACAACTGCTCTAGTGCAGTTTGTCCTTCCCTACTTAAGAAGGGAGCCAGTCGTGGTGCCACCAGTTTGGCTGCTGCTGCTGTTACTGTTACCCCCTGACAGGTCATCCCCCACAACAGTACCAAAACGGTATACTTGTTAGAGAGGGGGACCACCACAGGGGATTCCTGCACTTGACTGCCTGCCTGCCTCTTCTAGCATACACCCATCTATCTGCCTGCACCTTCGGTGTTATCACATCTCAAACTATTGTCTATCATACTTTCCGCACCCTCATGCTCTTAAGTGCATCCAGTTACTGCTCCAACCTATCCATTCAGTCTGTGAGGAACTGCACTTAGATGCACTTCCTGCAGATGTAGTCATTCAAGACACAGGAAGCATTGCAGATCTCCCGCATCTCACAAGTGCGACACTTAACCCCACTGACTGACATTCCTATCACCAATTAAGCTGTTTGAGAAAATTTATTAAACTCTTACCTTTACTTGACAACAGCTCCTCCATAAACCACCCTCTGGAAGCAGTGACTGCATTGATGCTTCCCCACGTCAGCAAATCAGCATCACCACCCTGCCGCCCTCTTCTGGGTCTCATTAGTAATACTCATTGGTTTCTGTATCGGGTAACGTACACATATTGAAATACAGACACCAAAATACACGTTCTGTTCCATTTTGGGAATTACTGTTTCTTTTTTTTTAAATCATTTTAAGGAGAAATTGGAGGAGGAAGTCCGTGAAAGAATGAACATCATCTTGAACCTAGGTTTCTCCCAATGGTCTGGGCATAATCCTTTACCAGGTACCTGAGCACTGACTACACTTCACACGTACACTCACATTATCATTGTTTAGAACTAACCCTTCTTAAAACTTTGATTATTGCAGATTTTCAAAATGAACTCAAATGGATAAATCCAACCTGGGATGAAGTGAAAGACTCATCAGACACTGATTAACCGTTTTGGATCTTTGTTTTTTTGAAGTTAATATTGTAATAATACAGCCTTTTAAAAAAGAAAAAGTTATTTCTTATTGTTTTTGTAAAAAATTAAACTTAGTGGAAGATAGATTGTACTCTTTTCTCTGTAGTAAGTATAGCCTCTTTTAGATAGATACTAAACACAATATTCCAGCTGTAATCTCCTTATGGCCCATGAATTGTTGCTGTACCTACTTGCCTACTGTCATTGACTAGTATACAAGGTCACCTAGATCCATTTGTATATTCACACTTACCAAAACATCATTTTAAGTATTACTCTTCCTTTCTGCCTTTAACACTGAAGCGTTTAACTTCACATGTAGCCACATTGTGTTGCACCTTCCTGCACTTGGCCCATATCCCTCCAAACCTTTTCTGTTCATAAACTTATCCAAATGTCTTTTAAACATTGTAACTGTGCCTGCATTCATCACTTTCTCTGGCAGTTCATTCCATACACAAACTACTCTGTAGGAAGAAAAATTGCCCTTTTTGTTGTTTTTAAATCTTTCTCCTCTCACCTTAAAAAATATGGCCACTAGTTTTGAACTCACCCACTCTAGGGAAAAGACCTTGTCATTCACCTGATCTATGCCAATTGTGATTGTATAAACCTCAATAAAATAAAAAAATAAAACTTTAACCTCCTGCACTCAAATAATAAAATCCCAGCCTTTCTAGTGCATTTTTATATCTCAAAACCCCCCATTCCCAGCAACATCCTGGTAAATCTGTTCTGAACCCTCCCCAGTTTAATAATATCCTTCCTATAACAGAGCAACCCACACAGTGCTCCAGAAGAGGCCTGAACATACTGTACAATGTCAGCGTAACACCCCAACTCCTACACTCAAAGGCCTGAGCAATGAAAGCTGCATGCTCAACACCTTCCTAACCAACCTATGACACACATTTAAATAATTATGTACCTGAATTTCTAGGTCTCTCTGTTCTACAATACTACCGAGGGCCCTACCATTAATTGTATAAGTCCTGCCCTTGTTTGTATTACAAAAATACAATACTTCATATTTATCCAAATTAAATGCATCTGCTACCCCTCAAGCCATTGACCCAATTGATCAAGACCTCTTTGTAATCTTAGATAATGTACTTCACTGTCTGCTAAATCACCAATTTTACTGTCCTCTGCAAACTTCCTAACCATGCCTCCAATATGCTCATAAATCATTTAAATAGGTCCTGGAGATTTATCAATCCGTATGTTTTTTAAGATCTTCAGTGCTTCCTCTCCTGTAAGGAGAACTGTTTTCAAAACATCAATATTTATTTCCCCGAGTTCTCTGGCCTCCATTTCTTTCTCAACAGTAAAAAACTGAGGCAAAGTATTAATTTAATATCTCTCCTATCTCCTAAGGTGTAACACAAAGATGACTTTGATGATCTTAAGGGGGTCACTCTCTGTCTCTCTCTCTCTAGTTGCTCTATTGCTTTCAATGTATTTGTAGAATATTTTTGGATTATCTTTAACCTTATCTGCCAAGGCAGTCTCATATTGCCTCTTTGCCTTCCTGATTTCCTTTTTTAAGAATGCTCTACACTCTTTATACTCTTCAAGAGATTCAATTGATTCCAGTTGTCTATATCTAATATCTGATTTTTTTTTTTTATTCTTGAGTAGAGCCTCATTATCTTTATTCATCCATTGTTCCCTCATCTTACCAGCCTTATCTTTCAGTCTCATAGGAACATAATGCCTCTGAACTCTCATCACTTTTGAAGGCCTCCTACTTGTCAGTCACCCCTTTACCTGCGATCAGTCTACTCCAATCAATCTTTGAACATTCTTGATTCATACCCTTACAATTTACCTTACTCCAATTAAAACTTTAACTTTTATGGAGGACCTTATCCTTTTTCATAAGTATTTAAAACTAATATGATTATGATCACTAGTCCCAAAGTGTTCCCCTACTAGCCACTTTGGTCACTTTTCCTGCCTTATTTCTCAAGGTCTGCTTCTTCTCTAACAGGAACATTTTCATATTGATAAGGAAAATTTTCCTGACCGCATTTAACAAATTCCTCACCATCCAAACCTTTAACACCATGGCAGTCCTAGTCAATGTTTGGAAAATTGAATTCTTGGAAAAAGACCCACTCTCTGTCTGTCAACCGATCTCAATCCAACCCGATATATTATCCCTTATCCCATGTGCTTTAACTTTATCCTTCTCTCTTGATGGATCTCATCAAAAGCCTTCTGAAAATCTGAATACACCACATCCACATTCCTTATCTATTCTACCACTTAAATTCTCAAAAAACTTCAATAGATTTGTTAAGCATGATGTGCATTTCATAAACGCATATTGGCTGTGTCCTATTCTAGTAATGTTTTCCAAATGTTCTGTTATCAAATCTTTTATCACAGGCTCTAGCATTTTACATACTGCTAATGTTATGCTAACTAGTTGGTATTTTCTGTTTTACTCTCCCTCCCTTTTTAAATAGTGTGATAACCTTTGCCATCCTCCAATCTGTAGGAATTGCTCCAGAATCTATGGAATTTTTGGAAAATGACCAATGCATCCAACATTTCCAGGCCAATTTCCATTTGTACTCTGGGATGTAATTGTTAGGTCCTGATAATCCGTCAAACTTTAACTCAATTAATTTTCCCAGTATTATTTACTTACTTATACTGATTTCCTTCAATTCTACCCTCCCACTAGACCCTTTGTTCCCTGACTTTTCTGGGAGGCTATTTGTGATCTTTTTAATGAAGACAAAATCAAAGAGTGTGTTCAATTCTTCAGCCTTTTCTTTGTTCCCTAGCTTATAATTTCCCCATCTCCTGACTGTAAAGAACCTACATTTGTCTTTGTCAATCCTTTTCTCTTTGTGTACTTAAAGATACTTTTAGGGTCAGTTTCTATATTCCCTGCAATTTTATTCTCATGCTCTATTTTTCCTCTTGTGGTCAAACTTTTTGTCCTCTTTTGCTTAATTCCAAAGAAAACTCCTGATCCTCAGACTTGCTGCTTTTTGTCACCATTATATATATTTCCTTTTTGGGTCTAATACTGTCCATAAATTCTTTTGTAAGGCATAGTGAGTCACCTTTCCTCTTTAGACAGGAATAAAATTTGTTGAAATTCGTGCACGCATTCATTAAATATGAACCATTGCCTTTCCACCATCAACCCCTTTATCCATCATTGCCAATTCATACCTCAGACCCTCATAGTTGCCATTATTTAGATTCATGACCTTATTTTCAGATTTGACTATTTCATCTTTGTTACGAATTCTATCATATTAAGGTTGCTCCAAGATACCTCACACAACAAACCATTTGAGGCTACTACACTGATAATGTGCTGATGTGGTTTTTAAAAACAAAATATTAAGATTGCTGTAAATCTGAAATAAAACAGATTGTGTTGGAGAAATTCAACAGCACTGCAGCCTCTGTTTCTCTCCACACAATGTTAATGTTTCAAGTCTAATGTGTTTCTACTTCAGATGTGGTTTTTTTTTTAAAATTGCTTTTTTGTGTTTTTTTATTATTCCTTAGACTTGAACTGAAGCAAAATGAAACACAATGAGATGTAAAGACATGAAGCTTGGTAATGATTGAATGATTAAAAGGCCACTGGTTTTAAAGTGTTCCTGTATTTTGCTGAGAGAATGCGTGTGTTTAAATTAAAAGCATTATAGTTATAATACTGGATTTACTATGTTACTGATCAAGGGGCTGAGATGAATGAAGCAGAAACATGAATTCAAATCCCACCTCAGGAATTTTAATTCAGTTAATTGAATTAATCTGAAAGACAAAAGCTAGTCTCAGCAATGATAACCATGAAACCACCAGATTGCCTAACTGCTCATTGAATACACCAACTTCCATTAGCAAAGGAAAGTCTGCTGTCCTAACATGAGCACTTCCAGAGTAATGTGGGTGATGCTTAAGTGCTCTCTGAAATGGCCAAGCAAGCCACTCAGTTGTCAAGAAGATTTGTCATCACCTCTGAGAGGCAATTACAGGTGGGTAATACATATGGCCACACCAGTGCAGATATTAACCAACATTTTGCTGAGTTAGCTGAAATGAATTGAGGAGGAAAAACAGTGATACCTAAAGGTGACTGAATGATGCTGTGTCAGTCACAGAGTCAAAGAGGTCTACAGCACAGAAAAAGACCCTTCAGCCCATCAAGTCTCTTCCAGTCAAAATATCCACCTAACTGTTCTAACTCCATTTTCCAGAACCTGCCTTTGCATACCTTGGCATCACAAGTATACATCTAAATACTTCTTAAATGTTTCACGGGTTTCTGCATCTACCACCCTTACAGGTAGTGAGCTCCAGATTCCCACCACTCACTGGGTGAAAAAATTCCTCTCATCTCCTCTAAACCTCTACCCCTTACTTCAATCTAAGCCCACTGGTCATTGATCCCTCCAACAAGGGGTAAAGTTCCTCCCTGTCCACCCAACTGTGCCCCTCATAATGTTTTATATCTCGGGCATGTCCCCCCTCAGTGTCCTGGCAACTAAGGAAAGTAAACCTAGTCTGTCGAATTTCTCTTCATAACTGAGACTGTCTAGCCCAGGCAACGTCCTGATAAATGTCCTTGCACTCTCTCTAGTGCTGTCACATCTCTCCTATAATTTGAATTCCAGAACTGCACACAATACTCTAGCTGTGCCCTAACCAACATTTTATATATTTCCACCATAGCCTCCCTGCTTTTAAACTGTATGCCTCGACTAATAAAGGCCATATGCCTTCTTAACCACTTTTTCCACCTGTCCTGATACCTTGTGTGTGTGCTCAATAAGGTGCTTCAGGTCCTTGGTGCTTCGCAGGGTTCTACCATTCATCATGTATCCCTTTGCCTTATTTGTCCTGCCCAAGTGCATCACCCTACATTTATCCAAATTGAATTCCATTCACCACTTACCAGACCATCTGACCAGCCTGTCTGTATCCTCTTACAGGATATCCACTTTATCCTCCTCTTAAATCCTCCTCGCTTTTGCCACCTCACCAATTCGTATCATCTGGACAAATGGTGATGCATTTTGGAAGATCTAATGCAGGACGGAAGTGTACTCTAAGTGACAGAACCCATAGTAACATCAACATACAGTGGGATCTAGGCATACAGGTCCACAGTTCCCTGAAATTGGCAACACAAGTGGATAAGGTGGTCAAGAAGGCATACAGCATGTTTACCTTCATTGGTCGAGGCATAGAGTATAAAAACTGGCAAATCATGTTGCAGCTGTATAGAACATTAGTTAGGCCACATTTGGAATATCGTGTATAGTTCTGGTCGCCACATTACCAGAAGGATGTGGAGGCTGTGGAGAGGGTACAGAAATGATTTACCAGGCTGTTGCTTGATTTGGTGGGTATTAGCTATTCGGGCATATTGGACACACTTGGTTTGTTTTCACTTGGAACGTCGAAGAATGAGGGGCAATCTGGTACAAGTTTCAAGCACATTCCATTCAGGAAGAGCCAGCAGCCACATATTCCCAGGAAGCATCCTGCTGACGTTACGGGTGGAAAGGGAGCAGTTTCTGATTGGTCAATGCTGGTTAGGTGCTAGTTTGTGTTAACCTGTTCATTCCCTTGGTGCTACAGGTGAAGAAATCTCACTGTACGCTGTAAGCATGTCTTAGTCTTTCTAAAGGGTTAGTACAGTTAGTTCATGATGTGGAGGTGCCGGTGTTAGATTCAAGTGGACAAAGTTAGAAGTCACACAACACCAGGTTATAGTTCAACAGGTTTATTTAAAGTCACAAGCTTTCGGAGCTCTGTTGCATTGTCACCTGATGGAATAGTGCTCTGAAATCTTGTGATTTTAAGTAAACCAGTTTGTTCATCTTCTCATTAGTACAGGGAGCTCAGATAGTGAGTAAGTTGGGGGGTGCTATTTTTTAGAAAGTAATAACTGAAATTTTCAGGTAACTAATTAAAATTTAACTTGTAATCTAACAGCCAAAAGAGGGTTAGTCATGTCTGTTGGGGTTTTGCATTCCGTCTGCAAGATGTGTTGTCAATCATGGACGCTGACAGCATCCCTGATAATTACGTCTACAGTAGTATTCCCAGCTTCAGCTGATCACCGAATGAATGGATCAGCTTGAGCGGCAGTTGGAGACACTAAGGAGCACACAGATGGTGGAGACCATCATAGATAGAAGTAATAGAAACATGGTCACACCCAAGGTACAGGATGAGTGGCTGCTGGATGGGGCAGTCAGTCAGTGCCAGGAGTGCCCTGCATCTCTGTCTCTGGCTTGCTGCAGTGTTCCAGCAAAGCCCAAAGCAAGCTGGAGGAACAACACCTCATTTTCCGCTTGGGGACCCTATAGCCCTCCGGACTCAATACTGAGTTCAATAATTCTAGGGCCTAAACTCTCCCATGTCCCAGCGCCCCCCACCCCACACACCAGACCTTGTTACCACATAGCCTGCCATTACACACCCACTGTTGTTAGTCAGTAACAGTCCCCATTAACAACTATTCACCCTCCCAGCCTGATTGTTAGCAACTCCTTTGTCTGTCCAGCTGTCTTTCTCTCTCTTTGGGCTCTATCCTATCGTTTACTCCCTACCCCACCCACGTCCCTATTTTCTGCATATAAACTGACGTTTTGCCAGTCACCACCCTGTTTGTGATATGTAAATGACTTGGATGAAAATGTAGATGGGTGGATTAGTAAATTTGCAGACAATACAAAGATCGGTGCATTGTGAATATTGTAGAAGGTTGTCAAAAGATACAGCAGAAATAGATCAGTTGTAGATATGGGCAGAGCAGTAGCAGATGGAGTTTAATCCGGATATGTGTGAGGTGCTGCACTTTGGGAGATCAAATGTTAAGGAAAAGTATACAGTTAATGGCAGGACCCTGAACAGCATTGATGCACAGAGGGATCTTGGGTTTCAAGACCATATCTCCCTGAAAGTAGCCACACAAGTAGATAGGGTGGTGAAGAAGGTGTATGGCATGCTTGCCTTTATTGGTTGGGGAATTGAGTACAAGAGTCAGGATGTCATGTTGCAGCTTTATAAGACTTTGTTTAGGCCACATTTAGAGTTGCCACATTACCGGAAAGATGTGGAGGCTTTGGAGAGGGTGCAGAAGAGATTTACCAAGATGCTGCCTGGATTAGAGGGTATAAGCTATAAGGAGAGGCTTGAAAAATTTGGGTTGTTCTCTCTGGAGTGGCGGATGCTGAGAGGAGACTCGATCAAAGTCTACAGGGAGATGCACAGATAGGTTTGATGGTCAGGATGTTTTTTTCACAATTGAAATGTCTACAGGGCATGCACTTAAGGTGAGAGGGGGAAAGTTCAAAGAAGATGTGAGGGGCAAGTTTTTTACACAGACAGTGGTAGGAGTCTGGAATATGCTGCCAGAGATAGTGGTGGAAGCAGATACAATAGGGACATCTAAGGGACTTTTAGATAGGCACATAATTATGCAAGGAATGGAGCGGTATGGACACAGGGCAGCCAGAAGGGATTAGTTTAATTTGTGTCATGTTTGGCACAACATCATGGGCTGAAGGGGCCATTCCTGTGCTGCACTGTTTTATGTTCTGTGTGTTATAATTGGTGGTGTCACCGTTTTCTCCTCATTTTTATTATCAAATTGAATCAATTCATGAATCTCTACAATGAAGTTATCTGTCTACCCATTGCATTGGTTTATCAATATCCTAACTAACTTCTGTTACTATGCTGAAAGTTTACTAAATTTTCAAGATTCAAGTCATTTGTAAAGTTTGACATGATGTCCTCTGTGCCAAAATGCAGGAACAAAGGGATCTTGGCGTGTTTGTCCACAGATTCCCGAAGGCAGCAGGACCATTTAATTGGGTACTTAAAGGCAAGCATCTCATCTGTATTCTTATCAGTTGAGGCATAGATTAAAAGAGCAGGGAGGTCAAATTGGAATGGTACACAACTTTGTTAGGCCACAGCTGGAGTGCTGTTTGCAGTTCTGGTCACTGCACTATAGGAAGGATAGAGTCATAGAGTGATACAGCACAGAAACAATCTGACCCTTTGGTCCAACTCGCCTGCGGCGACCAGATATCTTAAACTGATCTAATCTCATTTGCCAGCATTTGGCCCATATCACTCTAAACTCTTCCTATTCATGTCCTCATCCATACGCGTTTTAAATCTTGTAATTGTACCTGGATCTGCCACCTATTCTGGCAGCTCGTTCCATACATGCACCACCCTCGGCACGGAAATGTTGTCCCTCAGGACCCTTTTAAATCTTTCGCCTCTCACCTTAAACATATAGTCTCTAGTTTTGAGCTCCCCTATCCTGGGAGAAAGACCTTGGCTATTCATCACATCCATGCCCTTCATGAATTTTTTAACCTCTATAAGGTCATCCATCAACCTCCTATTTTATCTCCCAAAATCATGTTGTTGGGTTTGGTTGCAGGTAACTCTGGTCAATGATAACTTAGTATCTCTTACTGTCTATCCAGGGACATAATTTGTCTTATTTAACTGATAGGCTCACCCATTCGGGTACAGCTTATCGAGCGTCTAACCAATCTCAATTTCTCCAATGGATATATGTGTTGCCTTTTCAGTTAGGGATGGTTTAGTGAAAATCTGTTTGTGTATTCATCACCTTCAAT